TAATACTTCTCATTTTTTAACAGGAAGAAAGAGGCAGGATTAGTAGCTGTACAGTATTGCCTTTAGTACAACTTAAATTGATGTCCTGGAGTGACAGAGAGAAACAGTATTCATTCATTTCAACAATCAAATCAGAGACTTCTTCTTTACAGAACTTGAGTGGTGGGTGGTAGTAGAGAATCGCTCTTGTGTATATTGTCCAAGTTTTATTTCTGAAGTGCTTTCTAGAGTTAGGCTTGAATCTCCATAAAGTCTGCTGCAAATCAGTTGGAATACAGTCTTACGGACACTTCTGGACATTAGGAAATACATAACTGGGTCTAAGCAGCTGTTAAAAGATGAAAATATGAGCATCACCTCATTGCATTTGTGAATGATTTCCTTCCAATAACAAGACGGATTTTGTAACTGTGATGTAATGTAGACAAACCGGAACACGTGGTAAGGAACAAAACAGATGGTGAAAATAATGAGTACAATGAAGGAGTTCCTTGCTGTCTGGGTGTATTTTCCTGCGTTGGGAAAATTTGCTCTTTTCTTTGAAATTTTCAGAAGGTTCTTGGCAATTTTAACATATGAAAGTATCAAAAGGAAAAAAACTATCCAAAAAATTATTACAAGAATATAATTTAAAATTGCTTCTGTCTTTGCATTGTGTTTAGTTCGGTAATGAAAGCACATAGTAGAATTGCTGTCCTCACTCTTAAAGAAAGATGGTGCAACTACGATTATAGATCCTGTTAGTGCAAGTGCCCACACCATACAACAAATTCGTATACTTTGTGTAGTAGTTAACATTTTAGTATGCTTCACAGACTTATTTATTTTTACATAACGATCTAGACTAATTAGTCCCAACAGTACTATGCTGATATACATGTTCATATAAAATAGAGTTCCTATAATCTTGCATAAAATCAGTCCAAACATCCAGGTGTTTTGGGTAACATGATAGAGTATTCTGAATGGAAGACAGAAGATCAGCAGAAGGTCTGCAACAGCTACATTTATCAAATAAACTTGGATAGAATTCCTTTTCTGATGTATGCACAGGAAAGCAAACAGGGCTATAACATTTCCAACCAATCCAATGACAAAAATAATGGAGTAAAAAACTATCAAAGGAAGTGACAGTGAGTTGTCATCTAAGGGACAACTGGCATTGTTTTGAATTTCCAAGGCATTTATGGCTAGGTTAGTTTGGTTACTCCAGACGACTTCCTTCTCTGGAAGAACAGTCAGTAAATCAGCTGAAGCAGCAGCCATCATTTGTGAGGATTTTTTAGCTGTTCTGTAGGGATGCAAAGAGAAATTTTAAGAATTAAATGAACAATGGATCAATTTCAAGTGTTTGCTTGCTTTATTGCGTACAGTCTTATGTGATATAAACATAAAAGGCAATAACTGAAAAACAAAAATGCACCAAAGTATCACTGTAGCTGAGTAGAAGGACTTTCGGCTGGGTATCATGATATAATGTAAGTCTAGAATAACCAGTTCCCTGTTTTTCTTCAAGTGAAGTATGCAAGAACAGATGGTACAGAGTACTCGCACAGATCGTTATCTTTGTAATTGCATCTATATTATTGTCTTGTATTGTTTTAAAAATCAACTATTATGTTTTGCTGCAAACTTTAGAAATTTAATTTTTTTTCTTTATAAGTACAACTGATTATTTTAAGTTCTGATGTTAGGATTAGTCTTTCTGACACAGAAAACTTTAATTCAGATGCAAAAATGGGTAAGCATAGCTAAGTGAAGTATTCTCATCATTAATACAAAGTACATAAAATATATCAAAACAAGTCTAAATTCATCAATACTAATTTTAAATAGGTACCCAGGATCTCTTGCATGCAAGTCACTAGTTTTCAATTAGAAAAACAATTGTCAAATAATATTTTTTTGTGAAGTAATCTGTTGTAAGTAACACTGTGACTCAGTACTATTACAGTAGCTTGTTGTTAGTAATCAATATCTTCATGTAAATTTAAATATTTTTTTCCTTTTCTTGACTGTTGATAAATCAATATTATGCAGAGAAACTAATATTATCTGGAAACCACATTAATGAAGTAATGGATTGTTTTCACATCTTCCCTGCTTTCATTGTTTTCCTTGCTTTCATTTCAAACCTTTTAATTTCACTAAGCTTGTTTTTGACCAGGAAGGTACCATCTGGAAGATAAAAGTCAGCTTGAACCAAAGAAGGAAAACCAAAAACGTGTGTGGTTAGGAGAGCAGAATCACAATAAGCTGTTTAGAGAGATGGTTAAGACTGATTAGTAATGGTACAACTTTTGGCCTCAATTTGTATGTCATAGCTGTAAAAGATTCCATAAATAAGTTTATTTATAATTTTTTTTTGAAGGGGCAAATCTCACAAAAACTTCAGAATCGGTTTTGGTACTCTGAACTTAGTTGTCCAATAACAGTAACAAGAAAAAAGCAACAATGAAGCACTGCCATATCATGACTTTCAAATACTTTTTCATTTGCATGCTAGGTCTTAAAAATGCAAATTTACATTTAAATGTGTGATATAGCTACAGCTGTGAAAATGGTAGCACTTTAGGTACAACGTACATACAGAATCTGAATTATTGAGAGGACAGTGTAAAATATTTTAACATCCTGTGTTGGCTGATCTTGCAATTGCATTAAATTTGTACAATATGTTAGCAGTTTTAAAAATATTTCTGTTTTCATATGTGCCATTTCATATTGTCAGGGCAAGAAGTAATTTTAAAAGTGTGATTAAAAACCATGATACTTTCAAATACATCTTGAAACCTACCTATTACTGTAATTTCTTGTTTATGTTGCTTTTCTATAAAAATACTTGACATCATGACTTGCATAAGTAGCGACAAGTTTTAGGTCAATGAGAGAGAGAAAAGTCAGTTACACTGCAGATACATTAGAAACATAACATTTTGCTGTCATAAGTTTTGTCATCTGTAAGCAAGCAGGCATGCTTAAACACAGGTATATTTAAGACAGGGTCTGAAGGTCAGTACCTTTGCAATTAAGAGAAATTTTAATAGAAAATTGTTTTACTATATCTTAAGTATAAAAGAAGCCACTTACCATTTATATATGAAGAGCCTCTGCTGATTTTCAAAGCCGCTGGTGAAGACAGGGAGGAGTAACATGCAAGTCCTCTTATTAGAAAGCTAAAGCACCAACTACTGTATGAAAGTGATGAGAATCAGCTGACACAGTACAATTAGCAACAAGGGGAAGTTTAACTAGTGTTGCAACTGTTTTTTTTTTTAAAAGACATTTTTAACTAGGAAGACTCAGTTTGTTGAAAAGATCAATTTCATCATTAATTTGGACTTGCTGGGAGAGGTTCTATAATGAAGTTTTCTCTGAGTTTTACTCTGAATTGGAGATTTGGATTTTTTTCTCAAAAACTGTTTTTGGCGAGCAGTGCCAGTAGCTTCGTTTTTGGATGACAATTATGTTGGTACAGCCTGTCTTCTTTTTAGTGCTGTCATGGAAATAGTATCACTTTTTCAAATATAGGGTAAAGATAAATCAACACCACAGCTAAATGGTATATTTTTCTTGTGTTGGTATAGTTCTCCCATCTACCTTCCTCTTTGCCTGGGGCTAGAAATTTGGGGTTAATCTTTTTCACTCAAAATGACAGTGATGAGAGAATATGAAAGTGCCCAAAGTGTACAACTTAACAATTTCACTAAGGCAGAAGTGAAATATAATATGCAGAGATAATACCACCTGGCGATACTATTTCAAATAGGATGTAAGGGATTGAAACTTACATTTATAAACTGCAAATTTAAAAGTGCATTCTAGAAGTCCTGATATAAGGTAGCCTAAATTTAATGATTATCTCAAGAACATTGTCTTGGCTTAGTATTCTCCTTAACATTTGAAATGAGAATTTCCATGTTAACTTACTTAATATATCATCTGTTTAGGAATCTAGCTTTTATAGGATTCTGCAGATTTCAGTCAGAATTGTAAACAGGCTGTGCATTCTTACTTGAATGTGCTTGTTCTCATACAACTGACACTTTTTAAAAGAAAACATTGGTGGTTACAGGTGATAATTTTATAGGTAGTGAGATTGGGCTTGTTGTAGCTCCTTCACACTATTTTGAGTTCCTAGTTTTCTAATTTAAGCAGTAACATATTCTCAAGAAGCCATATACAAATTTGACGTTCTTCCTTTTAAACAATACAGTTGACTGCAAAGGGAGGTTTTGAGTAAATGCAGGAAGTCATTCTGTATTAAATGTAGTAGTTTGACTATGTGTATTAAATATTAAATTGTGTTCTAATAGCTTTTTTCTGTATGTTGCTTCTTCCTCACCAGTCAGTATCCATCCAAATTGTTGTATAATATTATGCCATTTTTATACATTAGACCTCACTCTTATTAGTGGAAAGACTGTGGAAAATCAAAGATATGGTTGACTGTGCCTGAAATCCAGTTTAGAAACCTAAAGAATTTTCCCCCTCACTGGAATATTTGTTAGAAACATCCCAGGGATGTTCCTTTTCTGCAGTTGGAAAGTGATCGGTGAATTCTGTGAATAAGGCTCAAAATAGTGTTTTATGTTGTCTGTGTGAATGATAAAATCACACAAAATGTTTCAAAGGCAAGATATTTCTGCTGCAGAATTGAAGCAGTGTAAGGCTTAAGGGTGAAAGGTAAAAAGAAAAAGTAATACCAGGTAAGAAATTATAGGCATTAATTTTTAAGTACATTTTATTATGATTTCACTTTGTGTTCCTTGTGAGTTCTGATAAGTCCTGAAAGGGTTCTGCCATGCCTGGGACCATTGAAAGGGAAGCCAATGAAAAGGAGTCCATGCCAGAAGAAAAAATATCTGAAATTAAGAAATTCTTTAAAAAAAAACCTGGAAATTCTAGCTTCTGTTTGCAAATTTATGAAAATAGGTTCTAAAATGCAAATTGTATTTCTCAAATAATATAATAATTTATCTGGGTTTTTGTCTTTTCAGCCACACTGTGTTCTGCTTGCCTCAAAAGAAAATTCAGCCCCAGTAAAGCTTGGTGGCTTTGGGGTAGCAATTCAGTTAGGAGAATCTGGTCTGGTTGCTGGAGGTAAGAAATTTTCCTTCAAAGTTATGTGATATTATGCATGTTGTACTGCAGAGTTCTGTTCTTCCAACACAGCCTGACCTGCAAAACAAGAGCTCAAAAATAATCTTTCACTAAAGACTTTGTTGATATTATAAATGCATGATGTTAAACTAAATTGCTTGTAGAATGTAACATTGTGATGCGTATGTATACTGAGTATTAAACCCCTCTAAATGTTACTCAACAGGAGCTTACACTGGTTTGATCAAAATAAAATTTAAAAAAGCAAAGAATTTTCCACATTAATACAATCTTTGGCATAATTCTTCCATGCTTGACAAAGCAAATCAAATAAAAATGCTGTCAGGATTGAAATGTACATCAAAGCAATTGAGTAAGGACTTACTACAGCATCGTCAGTGCTCCCCTGTGTTTCTTAGGCAATTTCTGTCAGAATGCTATGCTGTTTAATAGCAAAATCTTACTAGTTTTCACATGTGATTCTTATCTCTGTTTTAATATTTCATTGTAATTATTGCATAAGACATCAATACCTTGATACGTATGTATATTTTTTTGACTGAGTGTGTTTTGTTTTCTGTGGATTTTATTTCCTCTAGCTGCCTTCCATATTGTTCCAGACAATAGGGTTATGCTTTAATCAGCTGCAGAGATGAAGACCCAATCAATTTTCTGATGCTTTCATAGCCAGAGTAGGAGAGCACAACAAAAAATTTCTTAGTTTTCATGTTTTTTTCTTCAAAACGAGTAACTTCCTCTCAGTACCACGCTTCTTCAAGAACTCAGATTTCCTAATCTAATTACTTAAATGTCTGCATCAATGTGGCTTTTATATGCTTTTTAAAATGAAAAGCAAATCCAGTATAAGCACACCAACAGCTTCCATTCTGTTCCAGATATTGCTAATACCCTGCAAATATCCAGATATCTTATTACCCAGAGACCTAGATACATATTTGCAAAGAAACTACCCATTCAGTTAAGCTACTGCTGTTTCCTTAATAAAAAGATCACTCCTTTCTTTACTTCTCCTGTGTTTCTCAAATTTTCTGTACTTCAGCCACTGCTTTTCTTAGTGATAGTTCCTACACTTTTTTGTTTATGATTCTCTTATTTTTCTTCTTTATAGTCTCACTGAGCAACTTCACCCGTTTCTTCTGTTTCAGCTACTCTGCTGGAGGTAGTCAGATACAGTGTACTTTCTTTCAGACTACCAGCTGTCTCAAAAGAAACCTCAACTTCAACTTGTGTTTTTCTCCAAATCTGTCATGTCCTTCCTTTCCTGCTACCATTTACTGTTCTGTCATCCCACTCATCATTCATGTGCTCAACATCCATGCAGTTACCAGTGCTGGTCCAGTCTTTCCTTTTCTTTGTAAAAATGTTTTCATTCCTTTCTGGTTCTGTTTGCAGTATTTATAGAAGCTTCTTTCTTAAGCCTTATGAGTATAATATTTCTCTGAATCTGTACCTTTTACCTCATCCATCCCAACTTCTGCCATATCAGTCTGCCGTCGTTTTTTTTTCCTCTCTCTCAACTGTCATTTCCACTTTGTAGCCTTTTCTTTAGCACTTGTTACTTTCAGCTTCAAATTCCTCCTGTTTTCAGGGATACCCGGAGTGATTCCACTTCATTTATATATAATGGAAGGTCTCAGTTCTACTAGTTGTTTCAAGCTTTCTCCTTAAGAGACTCATTATCGCATTCTTCTGATCTTCCTTTCCAGTCTTTATATCACAAACTTCATCTGTCATCTGGCAATTATTTTCCCTTCCAGAGTTCTACCTGAAGGCGTATTACTAGACAGTCCCCTACACAGCACTTGAAAGATTTTATTTCTTCAACTTTACATTATCACCCCATATGTGTTAAGCGAAAGTTCTAACCCATTTCAGGGCTCAATACAACTTGAAGTTTTTACAATACAGAAAACACACTGCCTTATACTTACAGAAAATGCAATACTTACTCATCTTTCTGTATCTAGGTAAGGTGTATTACCACAATACTCTAGCAGCATATACTCATTACTAGTGTAAATCCATATGTAGATGACCCTGGTGTTCAAGAACAGAAATCTTTTCTCTTTCTGTATTTTGTGTTGCTTGGAGTAGTTTATCTTTTAAACCAGAAAATGTCAGCTTTCCTTGAGAAGAAGGAAGAACAGAAATTGGTGTTCAAGAACAGAAATCTTTTCTCTTTCTGTATTTTGTGTTGCTTGGAGTAGTTTATCTTTTAAACCAGAAAATGTCAGCTTTCCTTGAGAAGAAGCATGTCAACACTGAAAGTAATGTAAATGTAGTGAAGTTCAACTGATAGGACTCTTCCCTTAATCTTGCATAAAAACTCAGCTATTATCCCAAATCACTTCAACATCGATGATGATCCCTCTCTTTTGTGGTATTATTTTTCTCCTAAATTAGGAGTTGCAATATCTAAAACATTCAGGGGTTAGAAAGGTTCTAAAATTTTTTTCTTACTTTCACCCATCTGTGTTTGTGCCATTTTGCTTACCTTTTTGCATTGACACGCTTGTGTTCCTGATGAGCCCAGATTGTATGTAGAACACAAGCAGAAGGGACTTTTCTCCCTCAGTGTCTTCAAAGCCTGCTTTCTAGGGTACAGCTTTTGCTTTGTTTAGTACCACAGATTTTTTTAAACTTTAAAAAAGACATCTTTATTCCAGTGTGTGTAAATTGTTTTTGGGGCAAAAGGACATTTTTGGAATAAAGTTTAACTAAGCCCCAGGTATTGAAAGTAGACCAGTCCAAATCTTTTGATGTAAGTCCAGACATAGACGTGTTGTTTAGAAGGATTAGAACTACAGTGTTCTTTCAAAGACATAGAAGGTTGTTTAACAGAGGTGTGAGGGAGCTCATGATAACAAGCTATGACATTATACTACATGTCATTAATGGCAATGTCTGTGGAATAGATTTTAGGAACATGACTGTATTTTTTTAGCTAACAACCCAATTGAGTTTATTGTTGAGAGAGTTTAATTATTATTAAGTACCAAAAAAAGGACATAGTCATAACTCATTTTTCGAAAGACCAGAAGGGAAAATGTAAGGAAATACTTTTTACTCCACTGTGTTTGCCCACAAGCTGCAATGTAATGAATAAGAAGCATGTGTCATCTTCTAGGTTACAGGAAATTGTTTTCATGAGCTACCAATCTCGGAAGGTCTCTTCTTGCAGTTCTCATGATGAGAAGTGGCAAATTTTGCAAAGTGTATTCATCTGAAGCATTGAAGTAAGTACTTTAAGATGGCATTTAGGCAGTATACACAGTAGTTACAGATTAATTAGTAGTTACATCATAATTGGTAAGTGTACGCTTATGGAACAGGATGTAGACAGGAAACAGTCCGTGTTTGCATGGTTATGATGCAGCTGGGGTAGTGGAACCTTTGGGAAGTCAGTGATTTAATAGAGCAATCTCACATTATGATCTCTGTCTTCTTCCTTGGATAATTTTTCTTTCACAATGTGGTATGAATTGTCACAGTATTTTCCTAAATAAATGTGACATCATATTTATCAGATATCAAATATCTGGGATGATGCTAAATCTTGGGATTTTTAGCTAGTACATGGTATAAAAACCTGAAGGAAAAAAAGCCATTGAGTCTACACGTTCTATTTCCTCCACTTAATCTACTTATTTTCTCCTGTTTTTCACTAGTGCAATATAAGATCACTGTATAGACCTAAATGGTGTGAGGTTCTATACTAACTGTCAGGTCTTATCTATGGATAGTTAACTCCTTTTCACTTTTTACCTTTAGCAGCAAAATGTCACATGTACCACGATGCTAATCCAGTCCAGCTTAATTTTTATGTATTATTAGTTAGCTCCCCTAAGTTGCTTCAGAATCATATAGTATCTTCATGTATCCTAACACAACTGTCATCATCTTACTGGAAAACATCTTATATGTTCTTAATAGAAGTACAGCACATAAATATCAAGTGCTCTTGCTTCTTTGTCAGCTAGCCTTTTAGACTTACTACAAAAATAGCGCAGGAAGGCACCCTGCAAATAAGACTAGGGAATTCGGGGAGGATCTTTTAAGTTCCTTATTTTTGTTTTGTTCCCATCAATGTAAAAATAATCACAGAATGGTTCGGGCTGGAAGGCACCTTTAAAGGTCATCTAACTCAACCCTCCTGCAATGGAGCAGGGACATCTCCAACTAGACCAGGTTGCTCAGAGCCCCATCCAGCCTGACCTTGAACATTTCCGGGGATGGGGCATCTACCACCTCTCTGGGCAACCTGTGCCAGTGTTTCACCAAACTGGATCTTCTTGGTGGTTTTATGGACCCCAGTTCAAAAATCGTATTTTTGAAATGTTGGGTTTTTTACACATAGACTTTTTTTCCTTTTCATCATCAGTGTCTGAATGATATAGCAAATCTTTTGTTTTCCAAGGAGAGGTAAATATTTGTAAGCTGAGGTCCTACAGTAATATTCATCTTTCACTTAAATGGTAGTGTTTCCTCTGCAAAGCAAGAGCACTATTTCACTCTTTATCTTTTTTTCCTGAAAAATAAAAAACATGAGCCTCTTCAAAGCTTTCCCTCTGATAGACTTTGTTTTATTTAAACGATACAACTGTGGTTTACTGTCTCTCAGAAATTCCACTTCACATCTGGTTTGATATGAGAGTGCTTACGGGAGGCTAATGTGTTTAAAAGTCAGTTTAGGTTTACTTTCTCCATCATAGTTTTATGGCTGAAAAAAGGCCATTGAATCAATTATTATAATTTGTCTGCTTAACATGATCTTTGCTTTGTTTGTCTTCTGGACACTAAGATCCAGTTGTCCAGCAGTCTGCTGATGCATCTTTTAAAATACACTTTCTTCAGACAGTCTCCTGTGCTGAAGCTGAATTGCTTTTTTTTTTTTCCTTTTTTTTTCTTTTTTAAAATCTATTCATCTTCTATGTACACCTACTTGAAACATCTCTATTGTCTGGAGTAATGTGGAAAGG